TTTGTTTAGCAAACTGTGTGTATGTGTGGGAAGAAGAAAGACAGGAGAAAAAAGCCAGCAGAAAGTGAGAGAAGCAGTGGTGAGCATGGCCCAGAGACATGGCAGAGACAGAGAGCCTCCAGACTTGGAAATGGTAGGCCAGGGACCCATGGTGAGCCAGGGACCTGCTGTGTTCAGGGAACCAGGACTTCATGTGCATTCTGTAAATAAATAGGGTTGCACCAAAGAAATACCTGACCTGTATCATCCATTTCTCCTCTTAATGGAAACATTCCCACAAGGCCCTAAAGGCTGGCTAATTTCTTGGGTGAAAGGGGCAACAATAATAAAGGTGGAGGTGCTTTTATTTGCCTCCTGGGGTCAAGATTTCAAACTTTTCCCTGCAGCTACCAGGGTGGGAAACGTCCCTTTTTTTAAACTGGGAGCTGCTTTTCTCCCATGACTCCAGGAGCTGGAACCACTAATATCACGAGATTCCCAAGGGTTGGCAACTGAGCGTAAGGCTGCAGAGATGAGCTAAATGGCCCACCAAGGCTAGTTCCGTCTTAGATTTTTTTGGCAGTAAAGAAGATGACGCCTCACGTTCTTCCCTTTTCTCCAGGTCTATTTCAGCGGAAGAGGTGAAGCACGCCTCTGTGTTAAGTGTTTCCGAGAGCGACTTGATCACCATGGCGCTGTCGAACTTCCAGTACGTGCTAGAGGAAAATGGAACCAAAACCACCCACTACAACTTCCTGACTCTGCAGAGGCAAGTGATTCACCGCTTCATCAGCGGGAAGCCCGTCGTGAAAGCCCAGGTGAGTTCAGGATGAAATCATGGAGGTGGCACTTTGCCATAGACTTCAGCGCAGGCAGGATTTTACTCTCAGTGCTTGCTGCTCTGTGGCCTGGCACCTGTGTGAGTCATTCACACCTGAGCACACCACAATCAAATCAGGATGCACAAGTGGAAATGGTGATGCTAGGTGAAAGACCTGAGCCACTGTGGCCTTTTCCAGATTTTCACCTGTTTAGCGCCATTGGTTACAGTGGGGTTACATTGGTGTAAATTGGGGGTAATGCATTGGCAAATCAGCCCCACTGTGTTTAGACTTAGGCACATTTGAACATTTTAACCTAAGTGACTTAGGAGCCTGGGACACATTTCCACGAGGGACTTAGGAGCAGAGCTGGTTGGGAATTTGTTGACACCGTTTTGTTGTTGTTGGAAAATGCCAATTCATCAGGACCAAAACTTCCCATGGGAACATGCTGATTTTGACAAATTGTTCATTTAAATAAAAAGGAAAATTAGAGAAATGTTTTGAAAATATCAAAACATCTTGTTTCCTCATTTGATTTCTGGTTTGAAACAATTGTGTGTTTTGAAATTATAGTTATTTAATAGTTTAAATTTTAAAAATAAAAGTAAAAGAGGTCAAAATGAAAAACAAACATTTTTGAAATTATCGAAACAAAACCTTTCAATTGACCCAAACTAAAACATTTTTCTGTTTGTGAAAATTTTCAAGATTTTGAGTTCCCATCTCAATTTGGAAGAGAGAAGGTTTTTGAATTCTCAAATTCGCACAGGATAGCAAAACTATTTCCCTCCCAGGTCTGCTTAGGAGTCTAAATCCCATTGGCTTGCAGTGAGACTTGGGCTCCTAGGGGCCAGATGTTTGAAATTATTTATCAGGGGGTAGCCGTGTTAGTCTGTATCCACAAAAACAACGAGGAGTCCGGTGGCACCTTAAAGACTAACGGATTTATTTGGGCATAAGCTTTTGTGGGTCAAAAATCTGAAGAAAAATCTTGCATCTGAAGAAGTGAGGTTTTTACCCACAAAAGCTTATGCCCAAATAAATCTGTTAGTCTTTAAGGTGCCACCAGACTCCTCGTTTTTTTAAATTATTTAGGCATCTAGGGGCCTATTGGGATTTTCAAAAGCACCTAAGCAGGTTAGATGCCTAAGTCCCACCGCAAAACAATGGGATATGGGCACCCAAGTGACTAAATCATCTTTGAAAATGATACATTCCTAAGTCACTTTGGCAGTTTTGAACACTTTAGCCTGAACTCCCATTGATTTCAATAGATGGTTTTTGTAAAATCACACTAGGCACCTTTAAAAATCTGGCCTCAAGAGACCAAGATACTTTTCAAAATGGGCTGTAGGCTCCTAAATCCCTTAAGTGCTTTTGAAAATTATGCTTTAACCGTTGGAGTGTGCATCAGGATTTTTTCTGTATTGAACATGTTGTGCTTTATAAACCAGTTATTAATCACGAACGTTTTCCTTTTCAGACAATTCCGTCCATTACACTGAACAATGTGAAGACTCTGCACTCCACAAAAGCTAACGTTAGAGAACAATTGCACCAGGTGAGATCAAAAACAACCCTGGGTTTTCCCCCAGCTTCAGACTCAGATAATCCTCTCTTTCCCGCACTGTAAACAGCTTTCATAGCCACTGTACGGTCAGAAGGTTGGGTAAATATCCAAAACCTACAGTATGTCCACTCGCCCATTAAGGGCACCGTTCTCTAAACTCTCCACTCATTTCTGGGCGCCTTCAGGATTTGGGTGCTCAGCTTAAGACATTGAAGCAGCACAAAGCGGCCGAGGAGTAGGTCCCAGGCCCATGATGAGCCAAGTGGAGCATCAAGCTCTAACTTTAGCTACTAAAAAGCACATTTTTGTACAGTTCCTTGGCCACTTGGAGTCAGGGAGCCTGGTTCTCTTCCTTTGTACGCCAGCTTCACAACAGTTTTACCCCATTGACTGCCCTGATTTTATTTCTGAATTACACGGATGTAATGCTCTCATTATTAGTTCAAACACATTTTGAAAGAATTCCCGCAATAAAATAATTATTTAGAGAAGGGCGACTTGGGGGGCGTTTGTTCTCCCTGTCTCATGACACAGGAAAAAGAGGATTTTCAATTAAATTAAAAGGTGGCAAATTCAAAACTGATCAAAGGATGTACTTTTTCACAGAATACGTGGCTATCCTGTGGAACTCATTGCCACAAGAAATCACTGAGGCCAAGAAGTTAGCAAGATTCCAGAAAGGATTGGACATTGAACACAAAAATATCCACAGTTAGCTATAATTAGTGATGACAAAAATTTTGTAAACCTCCCGCTCTAGGGTTTGAGCCGCACTCTTACTATCAGAGCCCAGATGGGGGTCTAGCATGGGGACAGATTATCACTAATCTGGTACAGGGGGAGTGGGGCTCCTACACCTTCCTCTGTGGCATCTGGTATTGGGTGTTGTCAGAGACCGGCGACTGTACTAGATGGACCTGGCATTGATCCCGCCTGGCAATACCCATGTTCCCTTCTGGTAAAGTCCCATAGAATTTAGTACTGATGAAACCAAAGGTCTCTGTAGTATGATTCCATAGAAACTGATCTCTGAACCTTTCCAATTTCATAGAGAATGATATTCTTTTTATAGTTTTTGTCACCTTCCTCTAGAATTCCAAGCAGGAATAGAATTCTCACTTGAATTATATAGCAAAATCAAACGTATAGCACTTACATTCTATAGGAGTTTTGCTTAGAGGGTCACCTAACTTTACAATCTTAACTATCAGAATGAGATAAAATAATAGTAAGAGTATTTGTGTATTATTAACACGGCATTATTAGCACAGCTTAACGATGAGGTGACTTGATCACAGTCTTTAAGTACCAACATGGGGAACAAATATTTGATCATAAAGGGCTTTTCAATCTAGTAGACCAAGGTATACTGTGATCTTGTGGCTGGAAGCTGAAGTTAGACAGGAAATAAAGTAAAATTTTTAACAGTGAGAGTAATTAGCCATTGGAATAATTTACTGAGGGCTGTGGTGGATTCTCCCTCACTAGCAATTTTTAAATCGAGATTGGATGCTTTTCTAAAAGACCTGTACTTCAAACAGGAATTATTTGGGGGAAGTTCTGTGGCTTGTGTTACACAGGAGGTCAGACTCACTAGACCATCACAGCAGTCACTTCTGGCCTTAGAATCTATTAATCTAATATTCATTTGTCTTATATATGGCATCTCTAACAAAATTCCTCATATCTTCTTCACACATTGTATACAATCCCTTGGATCATACAACACCAGTGTGGAAACACTTAAGGCTGAGTTTTTCAAAGTTGCCTACCAAATTGGATGCCATTGATTGTAATGGGAATTGGATGTGGAACTCCTACAGACAACCTTTTGTCTCCTGTTGCTATCCATAGGAACCACTGAGCGTGAGTCTGATGAAACGCATCATGGAAGAGGCCAGTTCAGTGAGCGACATTTCCAGAGCACTCGCCACCCTGAAAGTGGCTGCAGAGTTCCTGGCCGTGACTGGAGGGGACCCAGAGCGGCTCCTGACTGAGTATGTCAGAAATGAGCTGAAGATGGAGGCTAATGCAAAGCAGTTCAGAGACCTACCGGTAAAAGATTAACTTTGGTTTGAATTCACAGCAATGACAATTAAGCTCTCCTTATAATAAATATTTTTTGTTTTCATGCTTTCTACTATGCATTCTGAATATATGAACATAGAGTACAGTTTCTTTCAAAAACTATTGTTTGAGCAAAAAATTGTGGTTTTGACTAAATGAATATTTTTGCTTTCCATGGAAAATTTCAACTTTCCATCAAAAAAGAAAAATGAAAACTTTTGGGTTTCACCCAAAAATGGAAACAAAAATATCAATTTTCAGGCTTTTAAGGAAGGTTGAAATTTTCCACAAATCATTTCATTGAAATGTTCTGTGGAAGAAAACCCATTCTCTGACCAACCCTACTGTATAGATTCTAGAGTAGATTTTTCTGTCAGAAAATGCCGACTTGATTAAACCGAAACATTCTGCGGGAATTCAGCTCACCCGCCTCCTACCTCCCCAGGTTCTTCAGCTCCTCCATAGCCCCAGGTCATTTAGACACTTCTGAAAAGATTACCCTGCATTCATTTGCAGATGTGCATTGTCTCTTTGTTACAGCCCAGCACATGGTGACTGGAGCCTTTTGACACTACTGCAATACAAATAAATAATACTAATGAATAATCCATATGGGCACAGTCTCTGAAAATGCCTGCCAGGTATCAGCAGAATCCCAACTTTTCAAACCAGAACTTGACCGTTCTACTCAATGACCTATTCATTGAACTGAATAAACTGTTGAATAAACTGAAACAAAGAAAATATTCTCTCTGTGCCTACAAAAGGCTGTCAAAAGCTGGTTTCGCTCTTCAGCAAACTCTGGTTCCAGGTTCTTAGCCAGTGACTCCCACCAGCTCAGTGGTTTGACATTCTTTAAAACTTTGGCAGTAGCAAGGTAGCTGTGAAATACATATAGAATGTGCTCACTTCCGTGATGAGGATTTAAATATCAGTGTCAAGGCTTTCTGGGTGCCAAGGTCTGGGTAAATCCCTGTCTGTGTTCTTTCATTCCAGGTTGTCCCACAAACGCAGCTGAAGCACATCCTGTCTCTGTGGCAGATCCTGTCAGCAAAGAGATCAGCGCTACTTGTACAAATGAACCAGGTAATGGAGGAATCCACCTCAGTGAGTGCCTGGAATGGGGCTGTGACGAGACTGAAAACTTTCTGTGCAAATTGTTTTTAATCAGAAAATTGGGTTTTTGACAAACTGAAGTTTTTCACAGAAAATTTTGACTTTGCTGAAAAAAAGTAAAGCACAAAAATTTTCCAGCTGAAAACCAATTACTCTTTTGGACATGTTGCTGAAAGCCAGCTGCACTGTGAAATGGGTGATTTTCAATTGCATGTAACTCCACCAGATCTGAACAGAGTTCTATGAGCACAGCAAAGGGCACCTGCCTGGCCCTAGGGCAATCCCAGTGTCAAATGTCCATGCTGCAAGGCACAGACACAATTATTTTAGTTATTGTTTTGTTTTCCCAACATTTCCCCACCAGCTCTAGTTATGACCAACGTTCTCTGCTCACTTGCTGTGTAGTCCCTCCTCTGCTGCTGTCAGGATCCATCACTTGGAGTCTATAAATCTAGATGCGTCGCCCCTTTCTCAAAGTTACAGTCTAGCTCAGCCAGGAGTTATTATGCCAGAGGCAGGAATCTCTGGGGGAGAGTCTCTAGCCCGGATTAGGTAGGAGGTTGGGCTGGATGGGACCTGATGGCCTTAATACTGTTGATAAATTGCATAGACAGTTGCTTGCCCACATCTTGGTTTGTTATGAAATATATTCAAGAGATCAGTCAGGTTTATTGCTAAAAGTCAGTACGAGTATAGACAGACGTCTGTTGGTCTTTCCCTAACCTGAAGAAGAGCTCAGTGTATCTTGAAAGTGTCTCTCTTTGACCAACAGATGTTGGTCCAGTGAGAATACCTCACCCACTCATCTCTCTAATATCCTGGGACCAGCATGGCTACAACAAAACTGACAGTAATAATAGCATAGTACTGGAAGAAAGGCTTTGTAATATAGCAGTTTTCATGAAGCCATCTTGTGCTGCTGTTTTTAAATCCACTTTACACAGAAGGTGTGGCCCAGCTACATATTTCAGCAAGTAGTATTTATAGGATGGTTTACAAGTTACAAAATGCTTTATATGTCACAAAACTCCAGTCCATCATCTTGTGTCAGTTCCTTAACTTGTTGTTCTGTATCTTCCCTTACTTTGTTTTGGATATTACTGGTCCGGCTTGTACTGGGCACAACATTAATGTATTTTGCGTTTGGCAAATTTCTTATTTTCTAATGCCAAAACTGACTTCAGTTTTGCAAAGTGTTACAGGATACTTAGCACGAGTGAACAGGATTATAAAAAGACACAGACCAATTCAGGCCAGGTAACTGCTAGAAATGTATCTACAATATAATGTACTATTGATATTGTGTGTTTAATGCATTGTGGTATCAATATTGATAATGTGAGATGGATCATAGATTGCTACGACATTAGCCCAGCATATATTGGTCAATAAAAGCTATGAAAGTTTTTGCTGGCTACAGGACCGCAGCACTGGCCTGAGGTCACCTGCAGAGCCACCTGCTCCATCCCACCCCGGGAGCAGCCCCTATGCGTAGGGCAGAAGCAAGCGTCACCAGGCTGCACCTGCTCTGAGTCAAATGAGGACACTCTTCCATCAGGCACATCCTCAACTGCCCTGTGGACGGGGCATCCAGACACTTCTGCAGCACCTCTGCAGTTGCCCCCACTGACACTGTGCTTCTCATTTCAGAATCCCTTCTTCCTGATAGACAAGAGATACCATGAAGAGCTGGCTGACCAGGAGAGGGAGGCGCTAACAACAGCATTATCCACTGTCAATATTGAGTTCTTTATCATCGAGTTGCACGAAATGATCACAGTGGCATTGGAAAGCTGCAAAAACAGTTGGGGGTAACTACATATTTCTCTTGTCTGTGAATATGCGAAGGGCTCTGTACAAACATTTAGATCCAGATGAAAAAAATTTATTTATTTTTTACTTTTAATTTGGAGCAGGCACAAACCACTTTAGAAATTATTCCCTGTTGATTTAAGAACTTTTGTGGTATGTTTGTTTGGTTGTTTTTTTTAAATGCAGATTAAAAGATCAAGGCAAATGTAGGGGAAGAAACCCAGCATCTTAAAATTGCCTGTATATTACTTGTATGCTGTATTAAAAGGGAAAGGTCAAATCATATCACATATAAAAGGTCATTTTCCAGAGATCTCCAAGTCTCCTAGAATTGGATAACCTGCAGCTGCTACTATCTAGGCTAGAGATTCTCAGACTTTCCATACTGCAGAACTAGAGGGGCTTAAAGAAGGGCAATGAGAATGATCAGGTGTGTGGAGAAGCTCCTATGAAGAGAGACTGAACAGACTGAGGTTGTTACCTAGGAAAAGAGGAGATTTAATAATGGTCTATAAAATACTGACTGGTCTAGAGAAGGAAGATCAGGAGGCATCTGTTCTTCCAGTCCATTAACACAAGAACAAAGGGATGTTCAATGGAATTGAAAGATGGGAAATTCAAAACTGGTCATAGGGAATAGTTTTTTACATGGCTTGTGATTAGCTTGTGGAACTCACTGCCACATGAAGTCATTGCGGCTGAGAATTTAGTGAGACTTAAGAATGCATTAGGCATGTCTATGAATAATAAGAACATCCATTGTTATTGATAAAAATTCCAGCAGGCATATTAAATCTCATTTCTTTAGGTAAGAGCTGGAATTTTGGTATCTTCTATTCCTTATGTCCCTTTAACGCCTTGTTTTCTTCCCCAGAGTTATGTCCAGTACTGGATAATTTCACCCACTGCTGTTTAAGAGCACACCGTTTTGCTTAAAAATTGATGGGAGGAAATGTTACCTCTTGTCTGACAACTCTTGAATATTCACTAATTGAGGCTTTAGAAACTTTACACGTAGGGCTTTTTCAAATGAAAAATTGAGTTTGGGACTAAATGTAAATTTTCTCAGGAAGCATCTGCCTTCCTCAAAAAAATTTGGTTCAGAAAACCAAAAGTTTTGAGACATTTTTTGTTTATTTGAGCCATCAACTTTTCACTTTTCAGCAGTGTTGAGCTAAAAATGTTTACTTTTTAGTTGCTGAAAACCAAACCATTTTCAGGGTTGGTTTGTTTGGGGTTTATTTGTGGGGGGGGCGGGGGAGGGTTCATTTTTCGACAAAAAGTCAAAACTTGCTAGTGAAAAATACCCCACGTTATACCTGCTGAAGTGACCAACAGTGTGAAAAGGGAACTCAAGAAATTGGGTGTGCCTGTCAGAATTGGCACTTAGTCTTTCTGAACCAGTGTCCTGTACATTTACAATCTTGTTTTCTTTTATGAACAGGATAGTGGAGACCTTTCAAGAATATTTAGAAAAAGAGGGAAAAGAAGAAAATTACATTGTGAATCTGATCAGCGCTGTGAACCGAGACCTTCAGCTGAAGAATGTCATTTCAGTGTGGAAAACTGCTGTGCTAATCAACAAAACATACGCCCGCTCCTACATCCAAGAGTGAATGGGTCCTTGAATTGTTTCCTGTGGCTACCAAAACCAATTACTGCACCCAGCCTGTAATCCACAGTGATTTAGGAAGTAGAGTTTCTTTAAGAAGTGAGTCTCATCAAATCACCAGGCCGATGCATCACTTGAATCAAAATAAGCCTTCAATCAGATTGAAGTGGTGCCTAGGCCCGGGCATTTGAGTTGAGATGTTATGGGCATGACTAGCTCTGCAAGTGTTGCTATGCGCATTGCTTTCTGCAAGCGGGTGAATTTCACCCACCGAGAACTACAAATTGTGGGCATGATTCTTGTGCCACTTAGGCCTTGTCAACACATAGTGCTTTAACGATACCAGTCTAGAGAAGGGGAATAAGCTATACCTCTGTAAGTGCACTTATCTGTGTGAGGGAAAATTTACAGAGGGCCTCAGGCTTTGGTCAAGCTAGTATTTTTTTCAAGTTCGTAGGCCTGAAATATTAGCTGAGCTTGCTTCTGTGTGTAAGGGGCATGAGAAGGCAAAAGTGGGATGGAAAGTCCCCAGAACAGAACAATGGCCTTCTATGTACAGGGAGCATGAGGAGGTGAAGTGGAAAGTCCCCAAACACAATTTGCCATAGCCAAGCTTATTTTTCTATTGCCACAATGGAAGCGTTAGAAAAGTCAAACCGCAGAAAAGCTAGACAGGGAATAACAATAACATAGGGTTACCATACGTCCGGATTTTCCCGGACATGTCCGGCTTTTGGGGGCTCAAATCCCCGTCCGGGGGGAAATCCCCGAAAGCCGGGCATGTCCGGGAAAATCGGGAGGGAGGGCTCAGTGGTGCTCGGCCGGGGCCTCTTTGGCTGGGGTCGGGCCGGTGCGGGGCCGGGGGCATGGTGCCGGGCCGGGAGCCGGGCCGGGCGCACGGTGCCGGGCCGGGGTCCAGGAGCCGGGCGTACG